ATATATATATCCAGGATAGCTTTGGTAATTGTACTGCTGATTTCTGCTGATGTATTGAAAGGAGCAGTTAATGCTTAAATTTTATTTCTCTACTTTTTAATTTTTATGATTTTTTGGACCAATTTTGCATGCTTATATCTGGTAGTCTGAACAATTAATTTGAAGACAACAATATGCAACACAACAACCATTGTTTAATTCTTATTATTTTTCTCAGTGATATTCTGTATCGTTTCTACTGGGGTTTTCTTACTATTTTTTATTCTGTTTAAAAATAAGAAAAACAAGCAAAATGACTGGATGTGGACAAAAAAGTGTTTGCACACTGTTAGTGGAAAATATAAAATATTTTCATGCAGCACTGTAAATTGTTGCAGTCATCATAAAAGCAGTACAGATGTGGCTCACAAATTTAAAAACAGAACTAAAGTGTAATCGAGTAATCTCATTACTGCATAGATATTCAAAGGAAAGGAAATCATTACACCAAAAGTTATCTACACTTCAGTGTTTATGCTGCAGTATTAATAGTAGACAAAACATGGAATCATCTTAAGCGTCCATCACAAAGAAAGCATGGAACATACACTTCTGGAATACTTTTCAGTCTTGCAAGAAGAAGGCAATCCTATCATGCATGCCAACATCAATAAACTTGGAAGGCGTGAACTAAAACCAGCCAATCACAGAAAGGCAAATGATGCCTGATTTCACTTGTGCAGAATCTCCAAAAGTTGAAATCATAGAAGTTGAAAGCAGCATTAAGGTGGGGGTGGGATTGGGGGTGTTATTTAAATTTTACAAAATTTTAGAGAGGAGGAATAAGTTCAAGATATCCATTGTACATGATAACATAGTAAATAACAACTAATTGCATGCTTAAAGATCACTAAATGGATCACTAATGAAAGATTACATTGAAAAAATTACAAGTATATGAGATAATGCATACATTAGTTAGCTTGACTTAGCCACTCCATGATGTTTATGTATTCAAAACTCCATGTTCTACATTTACTTGTCATTTTAAAACAATACATCAACAAAATATTTAAAAAGAAAATGGAGAGCATTACAATGACTAGATTGGAGTCAAGAAATTTGAAACATATCACCAGTCCAGCTACTGTGAAAATTAGATCCCCTCCCCTCAGAAAGCTTTCTTAGCAACCTTAGCAACTTACCTTTTCCCATGTATAAAATTAAAGGCCTATCTGCAATCATTAGCAAAGCACTGAGTATTCCCATGTCTAAATTTCTATGGTCTAAGATCATTCACTAAGCCTGATAGCCTGAATAACCCAAAGGAAACTATATTTTCAAGTTATATTTTTAAATTAGAAAATACATAGAAATAAAGGAACAGCCAAAAGTATATGGCTGCAGCCAATGTCTGTTCAACAAATACTGTAGCAATTTGCTTTATAAAAAACTATACCTTCACAACAATATACTTAAAAAATATTGTGTTTAGATGGCATAATAATTTCACCTTTTAACTGCTAGTGGAATCAGAGAAGACATATGAAAATTAATCTGCAACCTTTTTATCCTTTCGCTATTTATTTGCCTTTTTCCCTGCATGCCAAGTCCCATGTGAATACAAGCATTATTACCTTATCCTTGGACTTCCATGGAATTAATGAAGTGTTTCAAAAGCCAATCATAATTTGTGTTTATATTTTAGAGTCCTGTCAGGGTTATAATTATTTTTAGTGCAGATCCACTAGTTCAGTAAATGCCTTCATTATCCTTAGAGCTGAAGAAGTCGCTGGTTATGCAGAGCTTGTCTTCTCTCTGCACCTTCTTCTTGGCCACTACTTGTAGTAAACATCCTTTGCTCCATGTTAATAGAGCCGCCTGCAGAAGGTCACTTATTAGATAATCACTTGTCTGTGAAAAATCCTAATTACTCTATGTTTGTCAAAGGGAGGAAACGGCGCTGCATGTGAATGCGGAATGAGAAGCAAACATGAATGCAGATAAGGAAGAGGAGTATTATTAAAAAAAAAAAACTTGGTAGATCAAAACTCTGTTAAGTGCACCTACACTTTGAGGGCTAAAAAGAAAAGATACACTATCAACTATAATAAAGATAAAAAGCGCAGAGTTTATAGTGTTATCAATTTGAAGTTAAAGTATAAGAAAAATAATTTATGAACATTAGAGGTCTATGTTTTTCCTGTGGTATCTTAGTGCCCCCTGCTGATCCTCCAACAATATTTATTTTCTGTCACAACGGTTCCTATATTCCTTCCTACTTCAGTTTTTCTCTATTATGGCATTTCCTTTTCAGAGAATAGAGAATCATTTCTACATATTGCTCTGTTCTTCCGTATTATCACACAGTAGTATGTATCTGTTATTATAGGAAGAATATGATTAGTTAAAAATGCATACATACAAGCTTGGAAAATAGAAAGTAAAGGATTTGAAATTGCCACTAGACATAATAATTGAATGGGTAGAACCAGGGCCTGCATCCAATAGATCATATCACCCTCCCCACATAAACTATAATAGACTCAAAATTGATCCAGCACTAGAACATCTTCTGCCCAGAATGCAGGTAGGGAAGGATGTGGAATTTGAAATTCAAATAAACTAATAAACATGATACTTAAGCTATATTCCATGTATTATTTCAAGCATAGTCTTCACTATTTATTAGAAATACAAATTTAACAACTGTCTTTATCATGCAACCATATCCTCTAGGTTTTCAGCAGGAGGAAGTCCTGCACCGAGGAAAAAAGCTAACCCCAGTGCCCCAGTCCCACACACTTCTTGAAATGGAAAATGCTGAGACTCCTGCAAACCACATATGTGGTTCTTTTCATTCCCATGACCCATTCTGATTGGAACAGAAAATTGTTAAGATGACTGGAGCTAGATAAACCTCGAGAGCAGAGAAGACTGAGATGGCCTTGTTATTCACTATGCCAGCTCCTGCCTTCTTGCAACAAAGCCCTTTGAATTTCAGGTTTGGCACTTGGTGCTTCAATGATAGTGGGATATAAAGTTATAATAAGCTATTATATAGTCTAAAAAGATATTATAGACTAAACCAGAGAAAGTTGTCATTAAATAAGCATAGAAACAGTTAAGTTGTATATAATTTCATCTTTAATATATCAAATAGATCTTATTTGATACATTGTCCTAACATATTTATTTTTAGAGTACAAATTAGAATTAAAACATAAAAACTACAAGTGATATAGATTTTTCCCTTAATAAAGTAATCTGAATTTCCCAGTATTTTTTGTAATGCACAGTGTTGTCTTCCAGTTATTCATATTACCAGATATATGCATGTAAAATTAGAAGACAAAAGAAATGTATAAGAAATTAAGAAGACAAAAAGGATAAACAATCGAAAAAAGGAGATGAAACAAATCAAAGCATTAACTGCTCCTTTTCATGGACCAGCAGAAATGCACAGTACAGCTGTCCAAACCATCCTGCCTACATACATAGATGAATCTCTTTCCCCTGCTTCTTCTCCTGTCTTTCTCCTCAATTCAGTAACTCTTTCCTTTAAATAAGTTCATTCCCCTTTCCTGGTGTCTATTGTACCTTTCAGATTCCATTTTTCTCTTTCAGGGTCTCACACTAAGGAGACAATATGATGTTTGCACATGTGGTTCTGATTGAGTTCATTTAAGAGTATGTTCTCTAGTAACATCCATTTACCAACACTGTCCTAATTTTAAATCATGTTTGCTAATCATAAATAATTAACTTGGGAAAACGGTGTTTCTGTCTTAGACTCCTTGGAAGAGGCTTAGATTTCATCCACTATTTTTTAATTTGAATTTTTTTGTGGTAGTTTTAGCCTCTTGGTATACTATGATTTCTTGAAACCATCAGATAGGGAGATATTCTTTTTGTTGATGTGTTTCCTGAGAGAATAATTCATTTTTAAGAAAAAATATGATTTATTTATCAGAATTCAGACAGCTATCGATGCACATTACCTGCAAATATTTTATGAAGATATTTTTTAAACTTTGAAATCTCGTAACTTGGTCCAGGAAAAGTGAAAGCTTTGACTGAAAGATGAAAATGACAAGGACAGTCTCACACAGAGTGTTAGAAAGTGCTCTGGCTTGGGGTAATAGTGGTGGTATGGTGACATCCATCTTAGTACATATTTCTAGAAG